TGGTTTGCTTTTGTAACTCAGTATGTGGGGCCTGTAAAGCGTGAGTACGAGAGACTTTTTTGTTCTGAATTTTGATTTCTAATTAATTTAATGTAATAAGACCAAAAATAAAAATAAAAATTAACATAACGTTTTTTAATATTTAATATGAATTAAATGTTTAAAATTGAATTTTTAATTTTAATTCATAGTTTGACTGGAAATTGTTGGCCTTCCTGAAATTTGGGTATAGTGAGACAAATATGTGTGAAAAAGAAAGTAAAGTGATTAAATTGGACACATTTGACCAAAAGTAAACTCCCAAACCAAAGTCATAACGTCTCCCTGGAGAAGAGCTACGAAACTGCGCTATGAAAAGCAATCTGCCCAAGGAGGGCTAGCTAGTCTAGTGACCTTTGTTTACCCGCGTAGTCTGATGTGTTAATTTATATATGTTGATCGTACAGTATGAGGTGTTAATTTATTATATGTTGATGGTTGTTGACAAATTTTTCTTGTTGGGTGAGGTGCATTATGTATCTTTTGTCAATTAAAAATTTTAAACTTTAAGTTCAGGAGTAAAAGATGCATAAATTCAGAAATTTCAGTTTGTTTCTATCTTAAGTGGTAAAGTTGAAAAGTCGGGTTAAATTTAACTAATAACTTCAATTTTTGTACTTTAGTTTAAAGTGAACCGTTCTCTTACTAGATTGTCTGACATTATTATTTGATACGTTGCCAAATATGCGAATAAGAATCATTTGTCATGTTTATTCTTTCTTGAATGTGTCGTTTAGATTCATGGTTTGACAACACAAGTATTTTCCTAATATTACAAATCTGACTAGAGAACGTTAAGAGAAGTCTGAATTCCCCTAACTTCCTTCTATGCACTATCATAAACTAAAATTGCAACAAATTAGACATAGTCAAAAGCCATGGCCTAGAATTCACGTACCAGGGATGGTGTGTGGAAAACATTTATCATATACATTCCATTGGTGGCCTTGGCATTTTTCATCAGGGTCGAGTACTAAAAGGTCAAAGCCATACATGAGGGCACTGTGTATGGATTCATAAGAGGTATTGTAGTCAGAGTAGTTGGAGAGCGCCAAAGCCACCCACTCTGCACTGCAACCCTCATACAAATCCCCCGCTTCCATAACCCCAACCTTCACATAACTGTACGTCTTTTGTCGGATCAAAGAAGAAGCATTTATATTCAAGCATGGAGCAGTGTCCACGTACAGAGAAGAATTCACTGGATTCGAACACTGGATGTAAAATACAGGTGTCGAAAGCCTTTCCAATACATAATATGGAAAATTTGATGTTAAGGATGGTGGAAAATTTTGAGGCATGGAGGAGCAATTGTTTTTCTGGAGGCCAGGATCTACGACTCGGATTGTTTGGTTGTGGTAGTTGATTGCCCGGACATAGTATTTTCCTGAATGAGGTATGTCTACTAGTGTAATGTTGTTCTCACAGGACAGAGTATACTTTACCTCGCCGCAGTGCTTTGGATCATGTTCTAGTCGGAAAGGATAGCTTATGTTGTGGATATTGCCGCAGGAAGAGGTACAGTTAGTACCGTCGTCTTCCGCGTTACAAGTTTCTCCGGATAACCCAACAAGAAGTGCTACTATCAAAACCCACCTAGACAAGGCCAAGAATCTGTTTCCCATCTGAGAGAGAGAGAGAGAGAGAGAGTAGAGAGAGCAGAGAGAGAGGGGTTGTTTGGCATTCAAATTAGCTTAATATTTAGACAGTTTCTTATAAGAGTTTCGCCGAATATTTACAGTTATCGGATAACATTTGAAAAATATCAAAAGAAAAGTCATGCAGACATAAGTTGATTGAAAATTTTATTGACTTGTTAAGTTTGATTTTCCTTCTGTTTTGGTCCAAGTTTTGCCCTTGGTTTGTATATTCATTTATTTACTGTAAAAGCGCCACTCTTGTTTCCGATTTCTTGTGAATGGTCGATTGAGCAAGGTCAATTTATTGCTGTACTCGACATATCTATCCAAATACATCTGCTCAGGAAAAAATCCAGTGCCACTTTAGCTCAGAAATGCAGCGATTCCTCATCTCTTGCCTTTGCATACTGTATATGGTTTTCGTCAAAGCGGTTGAAGCAGGACAAGATACGTGCACAGAATCCAAGTGCAGTGACGATCATGGCCTGGCTATCCATTTCCCGCTCCACGTCAGACATCATTGTGGTGATCCTAGGCTTGAATGCAGTGGTAGACAGGAGAAGGTTCTTGAGGAGCAAGTAGCACTAGTAAAATTCTTTGTCAAAAGCATAGATTACAAGCGTGGGCTAATCGACGTATATAACACAGATGGCTGCCTGCTGTTAAAGCCCTTAGAAACCCCTAACATTCCAATCTCCCGCTTCCACTTATTGGATTCCTACATATTTAACGTTACCTTATTCCATTGTCCTACTCTTGCTGAAAGAGATACATATTTGTATCAAGTCCCCTGCCTCGGCGGCCCTGGCTACAGTGTTAAAGTTTTTTTTTCTCATTTTGATTTGTTTGACAACCTCCCGTACCTGAAGTCCTGTACAAGGATGTATGATGTTTTATCAGTTCCAATTTCGTCTTGGGTTGACAGCTCTATTCTTCGCTTTAAATGGTCTAAGCCAAATTGCACAGAATGTGAAGCGGAGGGCAAGAGGTGTAGATTGAAGGACAATGGCATCAACAGTGAAGTTGAATGTGTTCACTTGAAGAAAGCAAGTAAGGATTTTTTCACATATAGTCTGCTCAATTTTTTAGAGTTTCCAAAGTAAATCATATTTGCAAACATGATGACCAAATGATAATCTGGTAACTGCTGGTTCAGGGTGATTTTCACAAACATGACAATCTGATTTTGAAATTATGTTTATGTTTTATAGGCAAAACAATGGAATTCGTGGCAACGGGTGAGTTATCTAAGACTGGTCTTTTCTTTTGCTTTGTTTCATGTCGAGAAGACGTTGGAAGATATGTGTTTGCTCAAGAATTGTATTTACTTGCAGGTGCAACGCTGGGTTCATCCCTTCTTTTAGTGCTGGTCATTGCAGTGTATCGTGTCTATAGCGCTGATCAAAAGGAAAAAGAGAATCAACTGAAAATCGAAAGGTTTTTAGAGGATTACAAAGCTCTCAAGCCAAGCAGATATTCATACGCAGATATTAAGAGGATCACAAATCAGTTCAAGGACAAGTTGGGCCAAGGAGCCTATGGAACTGTTTTTAAAGGAAAGCTTTCTTCTGAATTCTTTGTTGCTGTGAAAGTACTTAACAATTCTAAGGGAAATGGGGAAGAGTTCGTAAACGAAGTGGGAATGATGGGCCACATCCACCACGTGAACGTAGTTCGCTTGGTTGGCTTTTGTGCTGATGGATTTAGACGAGCTCTTGTTTATGAGTTCTTCCCCAATGGTTCGCTGCAGGATTTCATTTCATCAGCGGATAGTAAGAACAGTTTCCTTGGTTGGGAAAAGTTGCATGATATTGCTGTAGGCATAGCCAAAGGAATTGAATATCTTCACCAGGGGTGTGATCAACGAATCCTCCATTTTGATATCAAACCCCATAATGTTTTGCTAGACCACAACTTCACTCCAAAAATTTCTGATTTTGGTTTGGCCAAATTGTGTTCCAAGGATCAAAGTATAGTGTCAATGACTACAGCTAGAGGCACCATGGGATACATTGCACCTGAAGTGTTCTCTAGGAATTTCGGAATTGTGTCTTACAAGTCAGATGTCTATAGTTTTGGAATGTTGTTGCTAGAGATGGTAGGAGGAAAGAAGAATATTGGTTCAAGCACAAAGGACGCAAATGAAATTTACTACCCAGAATGGATCTATAATCTTCTAGAAGGAGGAGATGACCTACGAATTCATATTGGAGATGACGGAGATGGTAAAATCCCGAAGACACTTGCAATTGTAGGGCTCTGGTGCATCCAGTGGCACCCGGTGGATCGTCCGTCTATGCAAATAGTGGTTCATATGTTAGGAGGAGGAGATAACTTGGCCATGCCTCCTAATCCTTTTGTCTCTGCAGGTCCTACAACAACACATGCAAGCATCCCAGCAAGACGCGTAGAGTTAGAAGCAATTCCTGAATTAGAGTAAAATGTATAAGTATATGTATACGCACCAATGTAAGTAATGTTAACTACATATGTGCTCGAACTTGTTGAACATGTAATAATTCTAGCCTAAATTGAGGGAGTTGGATATTAGATACTTTATTCAAGGGACATAAGTTATTATTATTATTATTATTTTTTGTTGAAAATTTGGGAATCCTATCCTTTGTAAATCAGTTGCTAATAAAAAGTTCTTATACAAGTTGGTGTCCATTGCATATTGATACTTTTTTCTTTTTCGATCGACTATAGAAAGGTGGTCTCCGTAACTCTTATACTCTTTAAGATACCCGAAAATGTAATTAGAGCATTCCCATTGGAGAAAAACTTCATTAGAGAGAGCCTAGCCATGTAGCAGATTGACTGGCAGGTTATACCAAGTTAAATGAAATGTATATTTTAGAAAGTACATGTCACTAATGTGGCCGTAAGGTAAGGAATTCCCACCCAAGTTTTTCTCTTCCAATTGATTTTAAGATACCAAAAAATTTCGAAACAACTAGGCTCCAACAACGTTAATGGAGACCAAAATCAGTCCAGAGCCAACAAAAAAAGATATCATATCAGTTGCTTTCCAAAAAATTTGGAGTTTTCCTTTACGTCTAAATTGGATGGGAATTGGGGACTGGGGACGCATGCATTGAAATTTCAACAATTGGAGAAAAAAATAATAATATTAAAAAAAAAAATCTCACCTCGTGGATGCTAAGTTGAACATTGATGTCAGAAAGTAATCAACGGACAACAGTGCCATTGGCTTGATGTCAGAAAGTCTTTCAAGTTCTTAGAAAAATGAGGAGTAAAAGTTGAGTTGAAATTAAAAATAAGGCGTAAAAGTTGGGATAATGTAATTCTTAGTTGACAAGAATCGGGGACACATGCATTGAAATTTTAACAATTGGAAAGAAAAAGAAAAAGAAAAGAAAAAACAAATCTCACTTCACAGAAAATTCGGAAAAAAACAAGGAGCTTACTTTTAAAGTCTTCAGTGGGAAAGTTCAAATGGACCATTGGTGTCAGAAGTCGATCAACGGACTTGTAATGCATTATGCAAAATGTAGAATTAGCGGCTTGAATTATTTACATCTTAAATGAGGAATTCGTCTAAATTAAAACGTTTTAAAGTTAAGTGTTCCACTACTTTTTAAGTTAAAATGTCGAATTAGTGGCTTCAATTATAAGCAATCTTGAATGGGGACTTTGCCCTAATTAAAATGTTTTGAAGTTAAGTGTCTCACTACTTTTCAAGTCAAAATGTAGAATTAGTTACTTCAATTATTTGGATCTTAAATGGGAACTTCGCCGTGATCAAAATGTTTTGACGTTAAGTGCTCCACTACTTTTCAAGTCAAAATGTGGAATTAGTGGCTTCAAGTGTTTGGATCTTAAATGGGGACTCTGCCATGATCAATACGGTTTAAAGTTAAGTGCTCCACTACTTTTCAACTCTAAATGTGGAATTAGTGGCTTCCATTATTTGGATCATAAATGGGGACTTCGCCGTGATCAAAATGTTTTGAAATTAAATGCTCCACTACTTTTTGGGTAAAAATGTGGAATTAGTGGCTTCCATTATTTGGATCTTGAATGGAGACTTCACCGTAATCAAAACGTTTTGAAGTTAAATGTTCCACTACTTTTCAAGTCAAAACGTGGAATTAGTGGCTTCAATTTCACATACATAATTTAAAATCATTTTGACCTCTCCTGCATGTGAAAATTGAAAATGGTTTTGGGGCCATCTTCAACCAAAATGGATGAATATTGAACAAAATTAACAAAGTGAGGAATGAAAAATATATTTGTGTGAATTATTTAACAAAAAAAAAAAATATATACTTTGAGATTGGAAATCATGAATCTTGAATGATTTGGAAAAGGTGAAGTCTCACTGTTAAGGAATTCGGGGTACTCAACACTCCAAAATTCAGAGCCAATGAAAAAAGATATCATATCAATTGCTTTCCAAAACTTCGGAATTTTGTTTACTCATTAATGCTCTCTTTCAATTTCTTAGGGGATGAGGAGTAAAAGTTGGGACAACGTAATTTCAACGACTTGGAATTTTGTAGTTTCCCTTCGAAATTTCAACAATTGGAAAACAATGAAAAAGAAATCTCACCTCATAGATGCTACATGTCAATGATTTTGGAAAAGAAAGAAAGAAAAAATCAACGTGGTGGGGGTACTCATTGATGCAAGACTTTGAATGGGAAGAAAAAATCAAACTGATTCCACTGCAGAAAGTCAGTTAACGAACTTGTAATACCCATTGATGTCAGAAAGTCAGTCAACGGACTTGTAATACCCATTGATGTCAGAAAGTCATTGATGTCAGAAAGTCAGTCAACGGACTTGTAATACTGATTCCACATACGCATTTGTCCATTTTCCATCTGCATCTAACAAGTTCATCATTATCCACCATTGGTTTGGTCTCATCTGTTATATTAAATTATTTGGATCTTAAATAGGAACTTCGCCGTGATCAAAATGTTTTGACGTTAAGTGCTCCACTACTTTTCAAGTCAGAATGTGGAATTAGTAGCTTCAAGTGTTTGGATCTTAAATGGGGACGCTGTCATGATCAACACGTTCTGAAGTTAAGTGCTCCACTACTTTTCATGTCAAAATGTGGAATTAGTGACTTCCATTATTTGGATCTTAAATGGGGACTTCGCCGTGATCAAAATATTTTGAAATTAAATGCTCCACTACTTTTTGGGTCAAAATGTAGAATTAGCGGCTTCCATTATTTGGATCTTGAATGGGGACTTCACTGTAATCAAAACGTTTTGAAGTTAAATGCTCCACTACTTTTCTAGTCAAAATGTGGAATTAGTGGCTTCAATTATTTGGATCTTGAATGGGGACTTTGCCGTAATCAAAACATTTTGAAGTTAACTGCATATGTGCTTGAACTTGTGGAACATGTAATAATTCTAGCCTAAATTGAGGGAGTTGGATATAAGATACTTTAGGGTTTACCAAGTTAAATGAAATGTATATTTTATAAAGTACATGTCACTAATCAGGCCATAAGGTAAGGAATTCCCTGCCCAAGTTTTTCTCTCCAATTGATTTTGAGATAGATATCGAAAGTTTTCGAAACAACTAGCACTCCAACAACATCAATGGAGACCAATCTAATTATTCGGCAAAACTTTCTTTCAAATTTTAATTGAAAAAACAACACAAATCTTTGTTTTTCAAAGAAAGTATACTTTGAGGTTGGAGATCATGAATCCATAATGATTTGAAAAAGTTAAAGTCTCACTGTTAAAGAGTTGGGTTACTCAACACTCCTTCAAAATCAGTCCAGAGCCAATAAAAAAAGATATCATATCAATTGCTTTCCAAAACTTTGGAATTTTGTTTACTTGTAATGCTCTCTTTCAAGTTCTTAGGAAAATGAAGCGTAAAAGTTGGGATTTTTCCCTTATACTAAAAACCTTGCCCCACCGATTAGAATGATTGTTTCGGAACAGGCACTGAAATTTCAATTAGAACTTATAAATAAATACTAATTGTACGTACGACATTGATAATATATGTCCTATGTTTTCCATGCATGGGGAAAAAACGTTTATTGCACTCAATAATATTTTTGTAAAATAAAAGGATGCACGATTTAGTTCAGTGGTCTTATGATTTCAATAAAAATAATGAAGGTATCCGGATTGACGCACGACTCAATGATCCTCAGATGAAAGTGCTGGGTGAAATCGCCCATTTGGCGGGTGCGTGATCCAGAAATTTTTTGAAACTAATAATATATTGTAAATTGATCAACACAGTATGGGAATTGCTCGATTAGGTTTTATAACCCAAGACATGTGACCCTACACAATTTTACTTAATTAAAATAGTAAAAATTTAGGACCGTTTGATAACGATTTCAATTTTTTATTTTTATTTTTTTAGTAGAAAGAAGAACATCATTGATTGAAATCAAGGGGTACAATCACATCGTTCTCTACAACGGATTCCATCTAGGAAGGAACATCTTCATCATAAATAAGGCCATCTCCAATCGGGAGGGCCAAATGTCAAATTTTAGCAATGTAGCCTGGATGGAGCCCCTAACGCATGTATAGGGTCAAGTGAAATATCAATCCAGTCCATATATCTATTCCACCTTTTGTCTGGATTGAAAATTGGTGTTGTCCAATCAAATAAGCCACTTGCTCTCGTGTGCAAAGTCAAATTTGTGGACCATTGTGTTAGCTAGCCACACCTAGGGGCATGTGGATGTCAATATTAATATTGTCGTTGGAATCAGATGGCCACAATGCAAACTTGTTCCCAATGGCTATACGATCAAAGGCCATGATTAATTCTTAACAACTTCAACGGAAATATTGGCTCCACCGCGCGCACACATCCAACACAAAATAAGATGACCTATGTTGGTGCATATCCCCTCAGCCTTAAAGGCGAGGCCGTAAGATTTGCATACCATTTTTTTTAATGACAACAAGGGTTTGAATAGGCCTTTCAAGTTATATCATGCTTGAAAAATATTGAAAGATTGCCTATCAAGTTATAAACAAAAATTAGCTCAAGAAAAATTAAACACCCAAAAAAAAAAAAAAAAACAAAAATAGTTAAACTATTTTTAAACAATTTAATAAGGCTATGAACTCAAAATTTGAGTTTGGAGGGTTGAGTGAACAAACTGTTTGAGGCTAGGCAATACATAGTTGTATTTTGAAGGATGGAAGTCTGAGTTTATACCCTTTAGACCATCTCCAATCATGTTAGGGCTAAACTCAAATTTCCACAATCCAAAATACAACTATTCATGTATTGCCCAAACTCAAATTGTTTTTTCCTCCAACCTTGTAGACTCATAATTTCCAACACAAAATAAGATGACCTATGTTGGTGCATATCCCCTCAGCCTTAAAGGCGAGGCCGTAAGATTTGCATACCATTTTTTTGAATGACAACAAGGGTTTGAATAGGCCTTTCAAGTTATACCATGCTTGGAAAATATTGAAAGATTACCTATCAAGTTATAAACAAAAATTAACAAAGTGAGGAATGAAAAATATATTTGTGTGAATTATTTAACAAATATAAAAAATATACTTTGAGATTGGAAATCATGAATCTTGAATGATTTGTAAAAGGTGAAGTCGCACTGTTAAGGAGTTTGGGGTACTCGACACTCCAAAATTCAGAGCCAATGAAAAAGATATCATATCAATTGCTTTTCAAGTTCTTAGGGCGTAAAACTTGGGACAACGTAATTTCAACGACTTGGAATTTTGTAGTTTTCCTTTGAAATTTCATTGAAATTTCAACAATTGGAAAACAAAGAAAAAGAAATCTCACCTCATAGTGATTTTGGAAAAGAAAGAAATAAAAAATCAACGTGGTGGGGGTACTCATTGATGCAAGACTTTCAGTGGGAAGAAAAACTTTTAGCATACTTTTGTGGGAAAGTTCAAACTGATTCCACTGCAGAAAGTCAGTCAACGGACTTGTAATACACATTGATGTCAGAAAGTCAGTCAACGGACTTATAATACTGATTCTAGATATGTCCATTGTCCATCTGCATCTAACAAGTTCATCATTATCCACCCATTGGTTTGGTCCCATCTGTTAAATTCAATCCATCTGCATCTAGCTTGATGATATGTGGGGTTCTTGCATAACCGATTTAATTAATCTCAATATCATTATTAAGGACGAGAGTTTTATCAATTTGATTAAGTTACAATACATTCTCAACCCATAATAACTTATAAATAAATGCACCATTTGTAGGTACGACAATGATAATATATGTCCTATGTTTTATATGCATGGTAAAAACGTTGTTGCACTCAACAATATTGTTGTAAAATAAAAGGATGCATGATTTAATTCAGTGGTTGTATGATTTCAATAAAATAGTGAAGGTAACCGGATTTACGCACAACTCAATGATCCTCAGATGAAAGTGCTGGGTGAAATTGCCCATTCGGCCGGTGTGCGATCAAGAATTTTTTTGGAATTAATAATATATTGTAAATTGATTGACACAGTATGGGAATTGCTCAATTAGTTTTTATAACCCAAGACATGTGAACCTTACAAAATTTTACTTACATATATTTCCTCTTTTATTAAATATATGTGATATAGTAATTCAACATTGCGGGAATCTTTAGCAAAGCAAAGTAATTACATGGTTGAATTATTTATTTGTCTGCATTCTTTTATTGTAGTCTCTGGTTTTTTTTTCTGGGGGTTTTTTTTTGGGGTATGTTTGAGTCTTTCGTTATTTGTCTGCATTGTTGTGAATGAGTGGATTTAAACTTGAGAAGCAACTGTCTGTAGCAACTGTCTTATCATATGAATCTTACCAAAAAAAATTTCATGTCATTTCAATTTCAATTTCCACTTAAATTGTCAAAGAATTTTCTTTAAAAAAAAATAGTCTGATCCGATGTTATCTGTAACAACACCAAATACAGCATAATTTAGTCAGATTGTTTATCCGGAGCAGCACCAAAAACCTTATAATATTATGGATAAACAGTTAGTACTCTCTGGAACAAATTAATACTATCCGACAAAATTTAGTTAGTACAGTCTGACATACCAAACAAGCCCCTATAGTAGAAATGATATATATATTTTTTTTCTTATCAAGAAAAAGGGGATTCAAACTTAGAACATCTTCCAACTTTGGGAAGAAGTAACACTAGACAAACAGCTGGTTAGTTACAATAGTAATAACCTTTTTTTTAATTTATCAAAGAGAAATTTTATTAGACAAACTTTAACAATATAAGCAAAAACATCAAAATGAAAAGTAAAATGCACAAACACAAAATCAAAAGACGCATGTACTAACTAAAACCCAAATCTCTCAACAACAAAAAAACTAATGCCCAAATCCAAATTAGACGTAATAATTTAACAATAAATGACTGCACTCGAAGGGCGATCACTTGGCTTCATTTGAATACACCACAATGCAGTTATAACCATCTTTTTTATTACTTTCTTTTCCTCCTCGTTAACATCTCTCATCTCCAAGTCATTTCCCTTGTTATATTGATCGTACGCCCATAATGGGAAGTAGATTTGGTTTGAATGCTCTACCATTGTACTCCAATTCTTCCTTCTACTTGCCATTTCCATAAGCAACATTCCAAAACTATAGACATCGGCTTTGTACGAGACACCTCCAATATTTTTGTAGAACAACTCAGGAGCAATATAGCCCATTGTTCCCCTTGCTGCCGTCAAAGAGACAATGCTATTATCTATGGGATATAATTTCGCAAGCCCAAAGTCAGAAATCTTAGGGTTAAAGTTCTCATCAAGAAGAATGTTATGAGGCTTAATATCAAAATGTAGAATTTGCATGTCACAACCTTGATGCAGATATTCAATCCCTCGAGCCACTCCGAGAGAAATCTCGTACATTTTCATGCAACTTAAGGGCATGCTTTCCTCTTTGGAATAAATATATTTATCAAGAGAGCCATTTGGCATGAAGTCATATACTAGAGCACGATTTAATCCCTCAACGCAATAACCAACAAGTTGCACCACATTAACATGGTGAATCCTTCCAATGGTAGCTACCTCACTTGTGAAGTCTTGCCCGTTACCTTTGGCCTTGCCCAAGAGTTTAATTGCTACAAAACGGCCACTACGCAACTTCCCTTTGAATACAGAGCCATAACCACCTTCACCTAACTTCTTCTTAAATTTACTGGTCATCTTTTTAATTTCTGAGTAAGAGTACCTTATTGGCAAAAAGTTGATATCACTTTGTAGAAAATCTTCTATGATGCTATAACTCGACAAATGTCTTCTTCGCCATATATAGATCACGAACGCAATCAGACATGGAACCCCAAAAATTAGTCTTGCTGGAAAAAATAAGCCTGACAAGAGATATATATCACCAAAAAGAATCATGAGAAAACAAATTTATTGGTTAGATCAAGTAATGCTTTCAACATTTTTCTTGTTTTGTTTCAGAAATATGTATTCTTTGATGTCATTCAAGGGTAATATATACAAGCCCTTACCGAAGCAAATGAGTATCAACCATATAAGTCCTGCAAGAAATATAGCAAAAGTGGGGACAAAATCAAAGACTTGACTATAGGTTTTCGAAAAGTGAACAAAATCAAAGAATTGATTATATGCAAGAAATACAAGATCTTACTGTTGGTTCTGAACGGAAAATACCATCCAGGATGATCTGCAAGAAATACAACAACAAATGTAAGTAAAACAAAGACTTGACTAAGTTTGAATTGACCTATTTTTTATTTATTACAAGTTCATTAGTATCCACTCACAATTGTCGTGATGTAACTGACAAGAAAAAAAGGAGGAAAAGAAAAAGAAATAAAAGAAGCTTTTGGGGAGAAAGTCCTTACCAACGTCCACGCTGTACCTAGAAAATAAAGACTCTGCAGTGACCAAAAAAAAAGAAAGGGAAAAACAAAAAAGAAACAACATTAGCACATCGGTCATTACAATTTGAAATACCTTTATTCCAGCCACAAACTGCATCATTGCTCATGGAGAAATTGTTTTGGTATGTCTTATTTTGAGCAATGTTCTCTTTCGAGATAAATATTTTTGTTGTCAAATTGTGAATCTGGACACTTATGAAAGAGTCAAATTTATATCTGAAATTCACAGTCTGACAAGATAAACTGTTTATATTGCCATATAATTTAGAAAGAGAATTACATCTTATTTTAAACTTTTTAATTGAGGGTTTTGATATAATATTTTGGTATTACATTTCCCAGTGGAATCAAGCCTAAAGTGAATTGGAACATGGGATTTCATAAGTCCAAAAGTCTAAAGGAAGCTGACCACATACCTAATTGAAACAAAAGAAGGTGCAACAGTATTAACAAGATATAATAGTTTGTGCATGAGAGGTAGCCCCTTAACATTTATGATGTATCTCATTCAATTATTTTTGTTTTGTTTTTGAGAACATCGCATTCAATGTTATTAAAAGTATCTTCAATTTGTAACAAGCTCCTTTTGTCCTAGGTTCATTTCGCACTAAAAAAAATAGAAAATAACATATAGCCAGATAGAGAGAGGGCCTTTACCGTAAATATTCGCCCATAGAAATCGAAAGAAACCTACACGAACAAAGAAGAAGATAACACATTAGCACACCAAGTCCTTAAACTTAAGGATCAATTACATTTTCCATTCTTGTGGTTTGATATGTGTACAATTTGCCTATGTCTTTTAAAAATTGGCAAAAACGACCTTGAAGTTATCAATCGGTACACCATTTGCCCCACTCTGTCTAAAACTAGTTGCTATTTTTGACCTTATACTTGGTTACCCTATATTTTACTTATATTATATGGATGCCAGATTGATGTCATGTGGCCCATTTTTCAACCCTCTTTGTATTTAGAAGGCTATGATTTTCTTTAAAGAAACTCTTTATTTGTTGTCCCAATGACATACGGTGATCCACGTAGAATGAACCTGGCTTTATTAAGCAAAACATAAGCCCCAAGCCGACTGCTATACCGAAAAGCAAAGTGTAACTTGAGGGTTAGACTAGCATAGTGACTAATGATGTTAGAATTCTTAATTTAAGGTTGTTTCTGCTAATTTTTTTTTTAAACATTGTCAATTTGCTTTTATTATTTTTCTTGAAATTTGTTACAACATCTTAACCCAAGGAAAAAAAGTTTGCCAAGAACTTCCTCTGTACCTGACAGATTGATTATCTAGTATTATCAAATGAGAACTTTGTCATGTGTTGTAAGTTTATCCATAATCAAAATTTCATAACCCTACATTTAATTATGAGATATCGCAAGAGGTTTGTAACTCAAGTAATTAAAAATATTTATCCTTAAATTTTAGGTCCTAAGTTCGATACCCCCTCCTTCTCATGTCATTTGTATAGATTTAAAAAATAATAATAACTTAAATAAAAAAAAAGTATTATTCCTATGGTAACTGAGTTGTATGCCTTTGAAAGTGTATTTAAATCTCACTTTACAAACTCATTTTATCTCACTCTATTTTTCACACATATTTATCTCACTTTTTCTAGATTCTGGAGAGGCCAACGATTTCTGGTCAAAATATTAATTAAAAATTAAATAATAAGATTAAATATTTAAAACATAATATAGTAGAAAAACCTAAGAAATTAAACACCTAAACCCTAGCCACCACCATCCCAACACCCAGCCTTCTTCTGGTTCTTCGCCCAACAGATCAAATCAAAATAAGAAAATCAAATTCCAAGATATAAAATCAGAAAACCAAACCAAGTAATCAAAAGAATCATATCAAAAATCAACCCACAAAACCAAATCATACCCAACCATTCTTCAACCACCCAACTTCCTCTACACACTCGACACTAGTTTCACCACAGCCCCCACCCCCAGTTCAACTGCAACATCCTTCCAACCACCATCGAAACCACCCTCATCCAATGCCTCACCCCATCACCCCAAACCCACCCAAGATTAATGTCCCATCCAAACCCCCACTGTGGTAACTAATCAAAATCAATCAAAAAATTGAAAAACAAACTTATATCTCAAAGAGAGAGACGAAGAGATTGGTGGGTATGTGGATTGGATATTTGGGAGATGGGTGTTGATTCAAAGGTGTGGGTAGTTTGGTGATGGGGGTTTGGATCAGGTATCAAATGATGTAAGTTGTTATGGGGTGGGGGTTATGGGGAAGAGAGAGAGTGGCAAGGCAGACCTGCTGGAGGTGGTCTAAGAAATTGTTGAACAGAAATGACAACGCCAGTGGGATTCGGGCGGCCATGGTTGTTGTTTGCTGGGGTAACTCAGGATGGGAGCGCCTGGAAAGAGAGAGGACGAGAGATTTTTTTTTTTTCTTCTGAATTTTGATTTCTAATTAATGTGGCTTGCATTGTAGGTGTTCGAGGAAACTCCCAAACCAAAGTCACCTCTGTTTACCCGCGTAGTCTGGTGTTAATTTATATATGTTGATCGTGGAGTATGAGGTGTTAATTTATTATATGTTGATGGTTGTTGACAAATTTTTCTTGTTGGGTGAGGTGCATCACGTATCTTTTGTCAATTGAAAATTTTAAAATTTAAGTTTAGGAGTAAAAGATGCATAAATTCAGGAATTTCAGTTTGTTTCTATCTTAAGTAGTAAAGTTGAAAAGCCGAATTAAATCTAAATAAGAAATTCAATTTTGGTACTTTGGTTTAAAGTAAATTGTTCTCTTGCCAGACTGTCTGACACTTACTTGATACATTGCCAAATGTGTGAATAAGAATCATTTATCATATTTATTCTTTCTTGAATGTTTAGTTTAGATTCATGTTTTGACAACACAAGTATTTTCTTGATATTACAAGTCTGACTAGAGAACGTTAAGAGAAGTCTGAATTCCCCTAACTTCGTTCTATGCACTATCATAAACTAAAAGTGCAACAAATTAGACATAGTCAAAAGCCATGGCCTAGAATTCACGTACCTGGGATGGTGTGTGGAAAACATTTATAATTTACACTCCATTGGCCTTTGCATATTTCATAAGGCCAAAGAACTCCAAGGTCAAAGCCATACATGAGGGCACTGTATATGGATTCATAAGAGGTATTGTAGTCAGAGTAGTTGGAGAGCGCCAAAGCCACCCACTCTGCACTGCAACCCTCATACAAATCCCCCGCTTCCATAACCCCAACCTTCACATAACTGTACGTCTTTTGTCGGATCAAAGAAGAAGCATTTATATTCAAGCATGGAGCAGTGTCCACGTACAGAGAAGAATTCACTGGATTCGAACACTGGATGTAAAATACAGGTGTCGAAAGCCTTTCCAATACATAATATGGAAAATTTGATGTTAAGGATGGTGGAAAATTTTGAGGCATGGAGGAGCAATTGTTTTTCTGGAGGCCAGGATCTACTACTCGGATTGTTTGATTGTGGTAGTTGATTGCCTGGACATAGTATTTTCCTAAATGAGGTGTGTCTACAAGTGTAATGTTGTTCTCACAGGACAGAGTATACTTTACATTGCCGCAATGCTTTGGATCATGTTTTAGTCGGAAAGGATAGCTTATGTTGTGGATATTGCCGCAGGAAGAGGTACACTTAGTACCGTCGTCTTCCGCGTTACAAGTTTCTCCGGATAACCCAAGAACCTGTTTTACTATCAAAACCCACGGGGGAGAGAGAGAGAGAGAGAGAGAGAGAGAGAGAGAGGGGTTGTTTGGCATTCAAATTAGCTTAATATTTAAACAGTTTCTTATAAGAGTTTCGCCGAATATTTACAGTTCCTATAGGATAACATTTGAAAAATATCAAAAGAAAAGTCATGCAGCCTAGGTAAGCCATGACGTTAGAGAGTCAGTCAAATGGTCGACATATGTTCATTGAAAATTTTATTGACTTCTTGAAAATTTATTTACTGTAAAAGCGCCAACATTGTTTCCGATTTCTTGTGAATGGTCGATTGAGCAAGGTCAATTTATTGCTGTACTCGACATATCTATCCAAATACATCTGCTCAGGAAAAAATCCAGTGCCACTTAAGCTCAGAAATGCAGCGGTTCCTCATCTCTTGCCTTTGCATACTGTATATGGTTTTCGTTAAAGCGGTTGAAGCAGGACAAGATACGTGCACAGAATCCAAGTGCAGTGACGATCATGGCTTGGCTATCCATTTCCCGCTCCACGTCAGACATCATTGTGGTGATCCTAGGCTTGAATGCAGTGGTAGACAGGAGAAGGTTCTTGAGGAGCAAGTAGCACTAATAAAATTCTTTGTCAAAAGCATAGATTACAAGAGTGGGCTAATCGAAGTTTATAACCCAGATGGCTGCCTGCTGTTAATGCCCATAGAAACCCCTAACATTCCAATCTCCCCCTTCCATCCATTGTCCTACTCTTGCTGAAAGAGATACATATTTGTATCAAGTCCCCTGCCTCGGCGGCCCTGGCTACAGAGTTTACGGCGTTGAATATCATGATGAATTGTTTTGGAGGCTCCCGGTCCTACAGTCTTGTACAAGGATGTATGAGGTTTTATCAGTTCCATTTCCGACTTGGGATAGAGGTTACAGATATATTCTTCGCTTTAAATGGTCTAAGCCAAATTGCACAGAATGTGAAGCGGAGGGCAAGAGGTGTAGATTGAAGGACAATGGCATCAACAGTGAAGTTGAATGTGTTCACTTGAAGAAAGCAAGTAAGGATTTTTTCACATATAGTCTGCTCAATTTTTTAGAGTTTCCAAAGTAAATCATATTTGCAAACATGATGACCAAATGATAATCTGGTAACTGCTGGTTCAGGGTGATTTTCACAAACATGACAATCTGATTTTGAAATTATGTTTATGTTTTATAGGCAAAACAATGGAATTCGTGGCAACGGGTGAGTTATCTAAGACTGGTCTTTTCTTTTGCTTTGTTTCATGTCGAGAAGACGTTGGAAGATATGTGTGCGCTCAAGGATTGTATTTTACTTGCAGGTGCAACGCTGGGTTCATCCCTTCTTTTAGTGCTGGTCATTGCAGTGTATCGTGTCTATAGCGCTGATCAAAAGGAGAAAGAGAATCAACTGAAAATCGAGAGGTTTTTAGCGGATTACAAAGCTCTCAAGCCAAGCAGATATTCATATGCAGATATTAAGAGGATCACAAATCAATTCAAGGACAATTTGGGCCAAGGAGCCTATGGAACTGTTTTTAAAGGAAAGCTTTCTTCTGAATTCTTTGTTGCTGTGAAAGTACTTAACAATTCTAAGGGAAATGGGGAAGAGTTCGTAAACGAAGTGGGAATGATGGGCCACATCCACCACGTGAACGTAGTTCGCTTGGTTGGCTTTTGTGCTGATGGATTTAGACGAGCTCTTGTTTATGAGTTCTTCCCCAATGGTTCGCTGCAGGATTTCATTTCATCAGCGGATAGTAAGCACAGTTTCCTCGGTTGGGAAAAGTTGCATGATATTGCTGTAGGCATAGCCAAAGGAATTGAATATCTTCACCAGGGGTGTGATCAACGAATCCTCCATTTTGATATCAAACCCCATAATGTTTTGCTAGACCACAACTTCACTCCAAAAATTTCTGATTTTGGTTTGGCCAAATTATGTTCCAAGGATCAAAGTATGGTGTCAATGACTACAGCTAGAGGCACCCTGGGATACATTGCACCTGAAGTGTTCTCTAGGAATTTCGGCATTGTGTCTTACAAGTCAGATGTCTATAGTTTTGGAATGTTGTTGCTAGAGATGGTAGGAGGAAGGAAGAATATTGGTTCAAGCACAAAGGACGCAAATGAAATTTACTACCCAGAATGGATCTATAATCTTCTAGAAGGAGGAGATGACCTACGAATCCATATTGGAGATGACGGAGATGGTAAAATCCCGAAGACACTTGCAATTGTAGGGCTCTGGTGCATCCAGTGGCACCCGGTGGATCGTCCGTCTATGCAAATAGTGGTTCATATGTTAGGAGGAGGAGATAACTTGGCCATGCCTCCTAATCCTTTTGTCTCTGCAGGTCCTACAACAACACATGCAAGCATCCCAGCACGACGCGTAGAGTTAGAAGCAATTCCTGAATTAGAGTAAAATGTATAAGTATATGTATACGCACCAATGTAAGTAATATTAACTACATATGTGCTCGAACTTGTTGAACATGTAATAAATCTAAAATGTCCCTTCTAATTCTAGTCTAAATTGGGGGAGTTGGATATTAGATACTTTATTCAAGGGACATAAGTGATTTCATTATTATTATTATTATTATTATTTTGGTTGAAAATTTGGGAATCCTATCCTTTGTAAATCAGTTGGTAATAAAAAGTTATTATACAAGTTGGTGTCCGTTGCATATTGATACTTTTTTCTTTTTCGATCGACCTATAGAAAGGTGATCTCCGTAACTCTTATACTCTTTAAGATACCCGAAAAGGTAATTAGAGCATTCCCATTGGAGAAAAACTTCATTAGAGAGAGCCTAGCCATGTAGCAGATTGACTGGCAGGTTATACCAAGTTAAATGAAATGTATATTTTAGAAAGTACATGTCACTAATGTGGCCGTAAGGTAAGGAATTCCCTACCCAAGTTTTTCTCTTCCAATTGATTTTAAGATACCAAAAATTTTCGAAACAACTAGGCTCCAACAACGTTAATGGAGACCAAACTAAGTATTCGGCAAAACTTTCTTATTTAAAGAAAAAATATACTTTGAGGTTGGAGATCATAAATCTTGAATGATTTGGAAAAGGTAAAGTCGCACTGTTAAAGAGTTCGGGTTACTCAACACTCCAAAATCATTCCAGAGCCAATAAAGAAATATATATCAGTTGCTTTCTAAAACTTTGGAATTTTGTTTATTCGTTAATGCTTTCTTTCAAGTTCTTAGAAAAATGAGGAGTAAAAGTTGAGTTGAAATTAAAATAAGGCGTAAAAGTTGGGATAATGTAATTCTTAGTTGACAAGAATCGGGGACACATGCATTGAAATTTTAACAATTGGAAAGAAAAAGAAAAGAAAAAACAAATCTCACTTCACAGAAAATTCGGAGAAAAACAAGGAGCTTACTTTTAAAGTCTTCAGTGGGAAAGTTCAAATGGACCACTGGTGTTAGAAGTCGGTCAACGGACTTGTAATGCTAATGCCACATGCAAAATGTAGAATTAGTGGCTTGAATTATTTAGATCTTAAATGGAGAATACGTCGAAATTAAAACGTTTTGAAGTTAAGTGTTCCACTACTTTTTAAGTTAAAATGTCGAATTAGTGACTTCAATTATAAGCAATCTTGAATGGGGACTTTGCCCTAATTAAAATGTTTTGAAGTTAAGTGTCTCACTACTTTTCAAGTCAAAATGTAGAATTAGTTACTTCAATTATTTGGATCTTAAATGGGAACTTCGCCGTGATCAAAATGTTTTGACGTTAAGTGCTCCACTACTTTTCAAGTCAAAATGTGGAATTAGTGGCTTCAAGTGTTTGGATCTTAAATGGGGACTCTGCCATGATCAATACGGTTTAAAGTTAAGTGCTCCACTACTTTTCAACTCTAAATGTGGAATTAGTGGCTTCCATTATTTGAATCTTAAATGGGGACTTCGCCGTGATCAAAATGTTTTGAAATTAAATGCTCCACTACTTTTTGGGTAAAAATGTGGAATTAGTGGCTTCCATTATTTGAATCTTGAATGGGGACTTCGCCGTAATCAAAACGTTTTGAAGTTAAATGCTCCACTACTTTTCAAGTCAAAACGTGGAATTAATGGCTTCAATTTCACATACATAATTTAAAATCATTTTGACTTCTCCTGCATGTGAAAATTGAAAATGGTTTTGGGGCCATCTTCACCCAAAATGGATGAATATTGAACAAAATTAACAAAGTGAGGAATGAAAAATATATTTGTGTGAATTATTTAACAAAAAAAAAAAATATATACTTTGAGATTGGAAATCATGAATCTCGAATGATTTGGAAAAGGTGAAGTCTCACTGTTAAGGAATTCGGGGTACTCAACACTCCAAAATTCAGAGCCAATGAAAAAAGATATCATATCAATTGCTTTTCAATTTCTTAAGGGATGAGGAGTAAAAGTTGGGACAACGTAATTTCAACGACTTGGAATTTTGAAATTTCAACAACTGGAAAACAATGAAAAAGAAATCTCACCTCATAGATGCTACATGTCAATGATTTTGGAAAAGAAAGAAAAAATCAACGTGGTGGGGGTACTCATTGATGCAAGACTTTGAATGGGAAGAAAAAATCAAACTGATTCCACTGCAGAAAGTCAGTTAACGAACTTGTAATACCCATTGATGTCAGAAAGTCAGTCAACGGACTTGTAATACCCATTGATGTCAGAAAGTCATTGATGTCAGAAAGTCAGTCAACGGACTTGTAATACTGATTCCACATACGCATTTGTCCATTTTCCATCTGCATCTAACAAGTTCATCATTATCCACCATTGGTTTGGTCTCATCTGTTATATTAAATTATTTGGATCTTAAATAGGAACTTCGCCGTGATCAAAATGTTTTGACGTTAAGTGCTCCACTACTTTTTAAGTCAGAATGTGGAATTAGTAGCTTCAAGTGTTTGGATCTTAAATGGGGACGCTGTCGTGATCAACACGTTCTGAAGTTAAGTGCTCCACTACTTTTCATGTCAAAATGTGGAATTAGTGACTTCCATTATTTGGATCTTAAATGGGGACTTCGCCG